TTATAAAGCAACACAATTTCAATAACATCTGATGATATTTTAAAGAATAATAGAGGTCACCTCTAGCGCGGCGTATAGTCTGTATAGGTTTTCACAACCCTTCGATTTGCATATATGCATATATGCAACGGCAATGACACGCCATCTGTTTGTTTGTCATTTGCTGAACGGTCATTATTTATTCAAATATAAAGATATAAAAAAAATTGCAAATAAAATCAATTCAAAATAACGGTAATTTTTATATCAAATCTATATAGAATAATGCTATACAATATGGAAAATTACTATTACATAATAGGGATATATATGCATATGTTACGTGCAATATTTAAAATTGTATTTGTAAAGAAAATAATGCAAAACAGTTGTAGAAAATCATGAAAACGTATTTTTTGAAAACCCTTATCAAATTGTATGATAAAATCAAGCTTTGTTGTCAATTCAATTCAATTGCTCAAAAGCGATTTCGTCAAGCGGTTGAGTCAATTTGCCGCGTCATGCACATTAGAAGCAGCTATGTCGATAACTAACATTAATATACGCGTTCCTGAGTTTTGTATCTGTATGCACTTGCAATCATATTTACCACATTTACTCATACTTTATATCGCATTAATATTTGCGCACATGCATATAAATATGCATATAACTGCAATAATCGCAAACGTTAAAAAACCAATATGACATCGACAGTCAAATTGAATATTTATAGCCTCAAGCGTGACGCCTTGTGTTCGATGAGATTGGACGGACGTAACCTATTAGATGAAGCTAAAGAACATTATCAGCAACTACTGATGGAATTGAACTCGTTCGCTGTATGCAATAGACCTTTTCAGTCTCTGGTTGCATGATATCGATCGATAGCTGTTTGAACAGTTCTTCCAATATAAGAGTGACTGCAATAGTTACGCTTCAAAAGTTGTGCTCTTCTATTCTGCACTTGGAATTCGTTCCACATACTGTCTTTTGCCTCTTGTCGAGTAACTTGCGCACGTCCTCGCGATATAAACTCTGTGGCGTCGGGGTGAAACTTCTTTAACTTTGCAAAGCCAATAATCGGCTTATTAAAATTGCATCGCACTCAACGAATGCCAATGAAAAGAGGCCAGGTCTGGAGAATAGATCGCAATCGAAATAAGTCCCTAGCCCAAGTTGAAGAAAACTTCCTGTGTTGCTCTTGCTGGTGCCGAATGAACCTATTCGAATTTCATTGCTTTCAAGACGGTCGCAAATTGTTTTCTCGTTTTCGAAATGTTTCATAAGTTACTACATTCTCATCGCAAGTCAATTTAATCCTCTCTGTAGCTTTAAATGGCGGTTTTTTCCATCTTAAAGTAGAGCGAAACGCATTGCCATAAATGCCCTCAATCTCTTTAGATTTTGATATGCTCTGGGCGATAGCCTGTAAACAACTGCCTGTAAACTTACAAGCGTACAAGCAGAAATATCTAAACTATGTCTAGCGAAAATTTCGGAGAAAATGAATTTGTCATGTTTTGCTTGGTAAAGCACTCATTCGAGTAATGGACAGAACTTATTTTGACACCTAATACATTCAGTATGTGCTAAATGCTCAGGCACGCTACGTACGAATATAATTGCGCCGTCTAGCATAATTGCATATAAACTTTTTTGCATGCCTGTAGTTTCAAAAGAAAAAAAAAAAAAAAAAAAAATTTAAATAAAAAAAAAAACAACGGAGATATTTGCGAGGTAATGATATGCTGTATGAAATGCCTTTGTGCGCAATATAAAAAAATGAGTGAAAATGCACGCATAAATATTTACGTAGGTACATCAGATTGATAAATAAAATTCAAAGTATATTTGGTAAACACTGTAGCTCGGTGCTCGGTCCCCTCTCATTAAATAGCCTACATCACTTCAGTTCAGTTCAGTTAGGCGAACAGGGGATTTGCAAAATAACGGGTTATTTAGGAAGTTATCGAAAAAATAATCCGAATAGTTCCGAAACATTTTCAATAGCCTTCGTCCTTGCGTCAAAACGTATTCGTGTACACAACATTTTATCGAAATAACTGAAAAACGGCGACAAGTTTGCGAGCTGAACGTAAGAAAGCAAGATGGTTGGACGGGTAGATAGGCAGGAGATGAAAAAACTTAGATCGATTTAGAATGTGATTCTGAATTTATTTGCGTAACACAAGGATGGTCTATCTCAAGTCCTTTAAAATGTTGCATATATCCGCACAAGTATAATATACTCTTGTATCACAAGTTACGTCAGATATAAAAACTGAAACTGGATATTAGTTTCAATACGATATTTTTAAATTTTGCAGGTTCTCAACCAATCTGTTTTAATCGTTTATCTCACATATGCGTGCGGGTGTTCACAACACAAAAATTATGTAAGAGATAACTAAAACAAAGGTTAGTTACATCTTGTAATTCGTTTGAAAAATAATTGCAGGTAACCATAACACGTAGATTAAACAAAAACTCTTTTCATCCTCTTTTATGAAATATTATTTCATTATAATGAAAACGCACACTCGTACTTATTGGAGAAAGGAAAGTCACACATCGCTTGTGTCGGACACCCACTATCTTGGTATACGAGCAAATTATTATGACGCAATTATTGATTATTGATAGGAAGGAATCTTTTGAAGAAGAGAAATTTTGAATGTTTTTCCTAAAAACGTTTTGGTTCTTCAGCGTTTGTGAACATGTTTGCGAGTGAAGGAAAATAAATGTCCAATTTTCCTCGTAGTCCCTCGTAGTTATATACACGATCCTCTTTCGCTAAGACCGTATTTCATCCAAACTTGTCTTATTCAACTAAATCTTTCTCGCCTGTTTTCTCAGTTAACCCAACTGAAATGTGATCAAAAAATGTATTTCAATGGCGATCCTTCCAAAGCGAACGGCAAAGCAACACGCAGCGGCTTAACCATTCCACATAGCTTATATTGCAAATGAATCATCATCATCTCATAATCCCATCCACACAAACTCATCCCACTTTTATGGTACATGCGACTACATTAACATGGAGAGTGATACGACGGACAGACAATCTTAAACCGTTTCATAGGCAATTGCCTTAAGAAGAAAATCTCATTCGAATATCGAGCAAAAATGAAAAAAACAAAACAGCACGTGAGAGATTTGTCTCCCACGTAGTCGTGGAGACTTAGCTCCCACGCGCTTTCCCTAAATTGTACTTTACTACATACATAGTGCGGTAAAGCACAAAGCTAGAAGGAGACGACCATCGCGCACCAGGAGTCGAACCTGGGTCCTCCGCCTGCGAGACGGACACCCTAACCACTAGACCATGCGATAGACACCTGCGAATGAATAACTTTTAGTCAAATGTTTGAAATTGAAGAAAAAAAAAGAGTTGGAAATTTAAAATTTTTCCAAACGATTGAAAACAACACGTGTTGCCAGATGAAATGTTGAAATGAATAGTTGCTCTTTACATTTAACCAATGTTACGATTTTTTTAATAATTCAAATTATTTGATGCAAATGGACTTCACAAGTTCATGTCTAATAATGTTACAATTTTGTGAAATGTTTATGTAGGCCTTGCTTTAGTTCGATGGTTGCATGCATAACTTTGATTATTACATCGCCATATATTTTGAAATTTTCGTTTACTTTGACGATTTGCGTTTTGTTTTTCATTCTAAACGTAAGACGTTTGCCTGCGAATCAATTTCGTCTGCACCCAAGTGTGACCTCTTTACAAAGATGACGATTCAGATCTCTAGACTGCTTTAAACTGCCTAAAGATAATAAGAAAGACTTTGTTGAGCTCGTCGATGTTAAACGCGACTTTTTAACAAATATTCGTTAACAGAAAGCCAAATTTTTTATATACATATATATATCAGACACATAACACGATCATTATATTCATCAATTCCAATATTAACATCTGCATGTGTTGGGTTTTGTCATTTTTACAAATTTTCAGTTTTTTTTAATTTGTATGGTGTAGTGGTTAGAACATCCGTCTCTCAGGCAGAAGAGTCGGCTTCCCTTCCTGGCGCGGTGGACCGGCCACAAATTGTGCTTTACTCTATGTAAATTTTCCAAATGCTTCTATGCCAGATTCTCTCGACAAACATGTTCTCGAATAACGTAGGGAATTGCCTGCTCCATGGTTCACCATAAATATTCTCGGTTATCTCGAAGTGATTTAGAGATGTCTACCCGCATGTTTGTTGCCTTATCGTCAGTATTTTTAAGTCATCACAATGACGTCCAACCTGTCATATAAAAGGTGTTTGTTAAATCAGAATACGGCTATAATAATCGTCGTCTAGTCCACATCCTCCAGGTCCCATGATGAACTTGAAATTTCGTATGGCGTGTGCCGCCTTCTTTAAAATATCTCGACAAAATTGACGAACGACGTAAATCCTTTGGCAACAACTCTTGTTCTAAATGCATCCAATGAAGTCAGAAGATTAAGTTTGCTATTTAGAGATTAACTTATTCTCATTGCTTAAGTTATCTCAATAAATCCTGTCAGTTTGTACAGTACTTATGGTACTTATTTTTCTAAATATCCAACTCGTTGGTCCCCCATTAGGTAACAGCAACTTCTGTTATTTATTATATCTTGCCATAATATTTATTTATTGTCTTTATTGCATACATATTGTATTTTGTACATATTATACATTGTATATATGTACATATATATTGTATTTACCTATTGTCCAGTTAATATATAACTAACACTAATACCTATGTGCGGTTGATTGTCAAATTTTTTTCGTTTCTGCAGGGCTTACGAAGCACACATTATTAGTCATTGCATTCTGCAGTTAAGCTATGTTTAAAAGAAATTTACAATTTCGAATTTTATCAAATATGTTGTGAGAAGAGTTTATGCATTCAAAGCTCACTTAGTTTTTGATCATTTTTGCAAATCTAAAATTATACAAAATCTTTTTCTTTTTCTCTTTAGTCTCGAAATTTTAAAACGAAATTGTTCAACTCTGCGTGACTACCGTATGGTCTAGTGGTTAGGATGTCCGTCTTAAAGGCGGAAGACCCGGGTTCGATTCCTGGTACGGTAGTCGCGCACGTTTCTTAGTGCTTTGTTCTATCACATATATAGTAAAGTAGTATAATTTGTGGCAAGTACGTTGGAAGCTCGTTTGAGTCTCCACGTACTTTACGCATTTTTATTTTTCTCGTTTTGGAGATCATTTTTTGTAAAGAAAAGTTTTAATCTGTCTTTGAAAACTTGCTATTCCTCTGTCTGATGTGGCGTTTATGACCGCGACGTGTTTAGAAGAACAAAAGCAAAAATTCCCCAAAAACTTTCGCGCAGTACTATTTGAAATTCAGCAGAAGCCGCTCTTAAATTGATCGATGCATGTTAAGTTATGCATGATATTCCCGCTTTCTTTAGTTTCGGCCTCAAAATAGAAAAATTTTCACTTTATAAATTGAGCTGAGTGAGTGTGTGTTGAAATGTGTTAAAAAACAAACATATAAAGAAATAAAACACTAAGGCGGTACGCGGCACGCGGGCCAACATTAAATGCCCTACATCGCTTGGCTTGACACAGTTAAGCATATACTGATTTTCAAAATGATACCCTTGAAGTTGAAGTGGTCGAAAAAGTGGCCCGATTTAAACCTACGAAATATATAAATATTATAGCCGATATGATAAAATTGATATTAATTGAACGCCATCTGTAATTCGTTCATATTGAATTTATTTTCAATTAAGAATTCAGTTAAGATTTATTCTTTTTCTTTTATATTTAATATTTAATATTTAATATTTAGACAACAGAGAAAAAGCTTCGCTTTTTTTAACCCAATTCAAAATTCAATCAAACTTATCAATATTTGACAATAATAAACCAAAATTTAAAACCCAAGCATGCTTAACGATAATATACATATATATAATATTATCACGCGAAGTGATACAGTGGGAAGCCACTACAACATCATATCGCTGAATGGTAAGTATAAAGAAACATAATCTTTCAATATTCTATACATAAAAAAGTTGATTAATGAAAATATATTTTTTTCAAAATTTATTTATTTACACATGAAACTCAGGTAAAATAAATTAACAGCAGAATTCAATCAGACTCTTGAAAGTAAATTCTATGTTAATTATTATTAATAACTAATATAAAGTATATGAAGAGAAGTGAAGGTAAGGAAAAATGCCGACAATATATAATTAATGTATACATAAATAAGGGAGGGATGAAAAAGAAGAAGAAGAAAAACGAAAAATATAGCACGTTCACATTTAGCATAGAGGCACACCCACAGCCGGTACACATCCGAATTACAAGCGAACCCCTATACCATTGCAAAGAAGCAAACGCATGGCAGCCGATAACAGTAAACAACGCCAATTAGTTTTGGTATCGTACTATGACGCTAAGATTACAAGTTAATTTAAATACGGCATAGGCAAATCGCGTGTAGTAAGGAGAGCTGCTTTGATAGAATTTCAAAAAATCCGATATTGAGACTAAGCAATAGATATCATTTAAATTTTTGTAAATGACTCTGACGGCTAAGCTTTACGAAGGCAAGCTTTCTAAAGAGTCGCAGAGAGAAAACGCTACTATCTACATTCATAAGGAGACCAAGAGACAAGAGATTCTATTGAATATCCATAACACCTATAGGAAAGGTCGATCTGTTGCAAATGTTAAAAAAATGAGCGCGAATTTTCAGGTGACAATCCAAGATCAGCGTGCATATGCATCAGACTGATGGAAAAGCAAAATTGATTTCAATTTACCCTCTCCTATCCCGGCTAGATTACATATAGTACAAGATACGGAACGATCTTAGCAAGTACAGAGCATACACTTATGATCATAGATGTTCAGTTAATACTATGGATTTGTTAGTTTTTCGTCTCGAGCTGACATAGTGTGTCCATTGGCCATCTTGAAAACGATCTAATGAATTTTAGGAACATCTTTTTTCAGATTCATTTTCATTACTTCATTTATTCCTTTTATTCATTTATTTAAAACTATCTTGACAACCAGCATTAAAATATGTTAAAATAAGTTAAGACAAACGTGAGAGCATGTAGCTTATAAACGAGTAAATGATTACTAGCAAATAATTGGGCAACTAATTATTCAACGTGATGTGTTTAATTGTTTTTTGAGAATCAGAATTATGCTTAAATGAAGAGTGGCAGTCGTTAAAGCCTTGACATAGTTAAACAAATGGGAGAAATACTTGATAATTCTACTGTGTGGAACATTGAAGTCAACACTTTGCAACAAACCGGAAACGGAAATATCTCCAGTCAACAATTTAACCATAGCCATAACCATATGACATCAAGCATCTTATGCCCCTCTCTCTCTCTCTCTCTCTCTCTCTCTCTCTCTGTCTTGCTCTCTCGTTCTTTCTATTTCTATTAATGTAACATGGGAAAGATGAAGTACGATCCGGTCAATAATACAATGGATTATCAGCTACATATTCCCAAATAGACTTAACCAATGCAGCGTAGAATCATTTAAGCGTACATAGCTTCGACCATCGTTTTATAAAACGCAATCTAATTTTAAATTCTGTCTCGAAGAATAAAAGCTGGTGCGATAAAATGGCTTTCAACAATGATTGCAAGTAATTGCGTGCGAAACGCAAATGAAAAACTGCTTTGAAGCGGAGGGGCAGGCTCTTTTAGGCATGCGGTTTTAAGTCTGATCTGTGGAAATGGATAAAGTTTCAGCTTTTTATGTCAGCTTTGCGGCTTTCAAAACAATCGCTGCAATTGCACTCGCTCTCTGCCACTATTTCACCGGCCAAAATACTCGTGCTCTGCACAACAGGATATATGTGACGAATCGCGTCGAAGATAATAAAAATTTAAAATTCATGCACATGCTACTTGAATATAAGTAAGCTGAAAGTACTTGAAGTTATACCTGGTCCTAGTTAGAAAAGTGAGAGAAGCAACGGAATCTATTTAAGAACTGCGTCATTGTTCGTAAGTGCCAAAGTTTTAGAAAAATATTTGAGAATGAGCTTTCGAAGCCGAGTCTCATTGTGTAATGGTTTTTAAATACAACGAACTAAAGCACACCTTTCTAGAGCAGATTGCTATTAATGGCTTCATCTTCACTTGAAAAGGGAAGATTCATTTTAGATAACAGTTCTTTAGGAAGTTGATAAATGGCGCTGTGCTTGACGCTGGTACTTGTTTTGTTCAAAGAAATCAATTTCAATATTCGAATTCGTCTCTTAAGTAGTTTACGTCTTAGTTACTTGGTAATTTTATTATGAAAAGCTCTGAATAAAATTTATAATCTAATCTGCCCTTTAAACTCAGTACATGTCATAAAAGAAAGCTTTTAATAACGTTCGAGAATTGCCGAAGCCATAACAAAGCCATAACAAAGCAATACGAGTACTCGGTTAAGTAAAAGTCATCTGGTGAAGTTATATAATATATGATAATATAGGATAATTTGGCAAACTTGTTTACAGCGAATTAGTATTATATTCGCATGCCGGCGCTCATTGTTGGTGAGCGTTCCATGAATGTGGCGCTGAACATGGCTTTTTTCCATGTTTTTGCTAAGTTGCACTAGTAGTAACTTTTAGTAATTAATAGCTGTTGCTTACGCAATCTTAAGAATTAATACAAACTACACATTTTATAGTAAAACTTGTCGAATTGAGTTGAAGTGTAGTTGGATTGAGAAAATATATTAAGTAAGTGAATATGGATGATAAAAAGCTCCTGCCAATCTCGTTCTCTTTTTTTACTTCTCAGTGGGACAACCACTGAACAATTGGCCAAGTTTATTAAGAAAATAACAAACTGAGTTAATATTTTTTGTTATATAAGAGTTACTTTTTTCAAGAAATTATAATCTATTAGGTATCAGTTTTTGTGAAATCATATCTTTTTTCTTCTTCTTCATACACTTTAAAAACTTGAAGTTATTCGAGAGAAATTCGCTGCCGCATAGTTAGGTGGATAGGACGATCGGCAGATAATCGAAAGGCTTAGGTTCGATCCCTGGTGCGGGGACAACCGTGAAAATTATGCTTTTTTACATACGCTGCGGCTTTGTGTCAACGGTTTCATGATTGGATGGAGGCAGGAATGAATTAATCATCAATTTTTTTCTTCTCTCCATCATATGTCCGAAAAACAAAAACTCTTTTTTCTAGATGTCAACATTATTGCAATATACATTCGGCCTCGTCTAACTAAATATACGCTTATATGTGTATGTATGTAAATATATAGGAATCGATTTTGATTTAAATTCGATGCACATGCAGTACAAAAATTGTCCTATTGACATTGATAACCACATAAATTGTTTTAACGCCATTTAAGATTTTTTCATTAATATGCAGGCATATATATGTGCATACATACATACATACATATAGATGGGAACATTTAAATATACATTGCCCGTGCTTAACTGTGATTATTATTATGCCAAAAAAAAAAAAGAAAAGAATTTTAAGTTCGTCAACTCTGCTATTGCATATGTCCACCAGTTTAATGTTCTTAGTACTAGAACGACACATGGGAGTTTCGCAGGAATTGATTCGGAGAAAAAAAATATCGCAAAGAACTTAAACTTAAACTGAAATGTGTATCCTCTATACAAACTTTCCGACTTCACATGTAAAAATGCCTATTAAAAGTATTTTGTAAATTTAAAAATCAAACACTACTCCCCCTCTTTCCTTCCTCGCCTATCCCAAATATTACAGTAGTACAGGGTATATGCCACAATCAAATCCTTCCTAGTTGGATGCAGTCTGTGTTCGTTTCATGTCAACGTGCAACGTTACGTTGCGAACAAGTGCACGCAATCAAATTGTTGGGCAAATATTTCGCAAATCATTTTATATTAATTTCAAAGAAAATTAAATAACTTTGACAGGTCATTTTTATAAACACAATTTATTAATTGCCAACTAGAAACAGTAAATGCTTTCGGAAATGCAATCGTTTTGCGCAATTTATCGATTATGTATAATATTTTAGTCAGCATGCAAGAAATTCCTTTCACTCAACTTACGCTTCAGA